GTATGTATGTATGTATGTATGTATGTATGTATGTATGTATGTATGTATGTATGTATGTATGTATGTATGTATGTATGTATGTATGTATGTATGTATGTATGTATGTATGTATGTATGTATGTATGTATGTATGTATGTATGTATGTATGTATGTATGTATGTATGTATGTATGTATGTATGTATGTATGTATGTATGTATGTATGTATGTATGTATGTATGTATGTATGTATGTCTTACCTTGCTACATTGCGGGCACACGTACGGCTTGATCGTCGTGTGAGTAAGGCGGTGGCGTGTCAGATTGCCTGGCTGGCGGAATGCTCGCCCGCACTGATCGCACGTGAACGGCTTATCACCAGTGTGAATTCTCTGCAAGAAAGGCAGGAGCAAATCTTCAATGACGCCTGTGAGTCCCACTAATTTGTAGATCACCATCTGGAAGAGTGAGCGACGAGACACGTCGAAAAATCGACAATTTTTGTGTCAAATAAAAAAAAATTGTGCAAAAGGAAAGGTTCGAACCCGTAGGAATTATGAATGAGATGTCCCCATTCCAACGAAAATTATAGAAAATGTAAATAAATATTTAATCAATATCTCGCAATAAGCTATAAAATCGGCTGCATAACGATTGCACATGATCAGCAAATATTTTACCTATTTTATAACCGCGGTGACAGTATATAGTAGCATCGACGAGTAGCGTGAGATTGAAGGTGGCGCTCTGCGCATTTTTTCGCAGGCGGGGCCGCAGCTCGTCAGCAGCCAATCAGCGAACGCGATGACGATGACGCACGAAGCGCGCTCGATATAAGGAAAAATCGAATTGCAGACGCGCATTTCCTCCGCTCAAAATACACGGCCTAGCTGAACAGGGCGAGGCAGCGACGAACGCTTAAAGAACCGCCGTAGCCCGCTAGCTGGACACAATAGCAGACGCCATCCCAGCAACACGTCGTCTGCGCTGTGCGTTACTGGCGACGAGCGCGCCATCGCGCGATCCCAGAACAAAGTCCGCCATTCACATGCACCATGCAAAATTCATGATGACTCGCATCGACTCGCGAACCCGAGGCATCGGCGCTGAAAGGTGAAAGGGGGCTGGCATCGATGTCAAATGTTACGACGGGGCATGTCGCTTCCTATTGTCCTACACAAAATCAAAGGTTCATCGATTCCCGGTTGCCGGTTGCATAGCGCTTGCTTTAAATATTTCATCGCGAATATAATACGCGAGGAATACACCGGCCTAAGGGGTAATTAACGACGCCGCACAACTAAGTAACTGCAAGCTTGACCACCTGCGCTTCGAAGGCAATAGTCATCGATTGTTAATCATCGTTTGCAGGTCTATTTGCAGACTGTAAGAAGTTTCGGGGATGTAGAAAGAGAGGATAGGGTCGTGGGTATTGGCAGTGGGGTATACATGGTCCTGTTGCCTTTCTATCGTCATGCGTTCGTAACGGGTGTGCATCGATGAGTGTTTTGTTGGAAATTAATATTTGAGTGTGACTTTTTGTGGAAGTCCAGAGGTAGAACGGGTAGTCAAAGAGTTATGCGATTATTATAGGTTCCAAGTTCTTAACAAAAAATATAAAATTCTCTTTGTACATCGTTTGAAATCGGAAAAACTCGAACCCCGTTCGTTGGAGAAACGCAGATGTGTTCTTACACACACACTTATATTATATATATTATATATATATATATATATATATGCGTGTGTGTGCGTGCGTGCGTGTGTGTCTGTCTGTGGGTGGGAGGGCGTGTGTGTGCGTGTGTGCGCGTGCGTGCGTACGTGCTTGCGTGCAGGCGTGTGCGTGTGCGTGCGCGTGTGCGTGCGCGTGCGCGTGTGCGTGTGCGTGTGCGTGTGCGTGTGCGTGTGCGTGTGCCCGTTCGCGTGCGCGTGCGCGTGCGTGTGCGTGTGCGTGTACCCGTGCGCGTGTGCGTGTGTGTGTACGTGTGTGTGTCATATATATAATAATAATATATATAAGAACGCGTCTTTGGTAAGTATGACTCATGACGGGATGTTTGAAACTCAGTGCGCACAGACCGACTCCTGATATACGATTATAGTAATACGTATGAGGCATGAATAAAATAAAATAAACTTTAACCCTTCCTGTAACTCTAACTTTTCGTGCAGGCCTATTTTCGACAAATGAATATTCAAAATGTAGTGGCAGCGGTGGGATTCGAACCCACGCCTCCGAGGAGACTGGTGCCTTAAACCAGCGCCTTAGACCGCTCGGCCACGCTACCTGACTGATAACGAGTGTCCTTTGCAAGATTTTAAGCGTTTTCCCTTTTGCTAATCGGTAAATGATAGTTGTGACTATTAGTATTAGCAGTTGCCCTACTTAACAGGACGAGTGCATCAACTCCATATGCCAGCAGAAAAAATATAGCGGAAGTCTATTTTTAGAGCTAAATATGAGTACACGCGCACGCGCGCACACTGACACGCACACACACAC